AATTAATTTATAGATATTAATTTATAGAATATAAATTAAATGATAAAAGTATAAAATTTAAAATTAGATATTAGAAATATTGAAAAATCAGAAAATTCACCATTGCCATATTTTAATATTGGCAATAATTTAAAATAAGATAAGATAAAGTAAAAATTAAAAAAAAATTATATATAATAAAATTTGAAAATATTAAAAAAATATTTAAAATATATTTTAAAAATTAAATATTCGAAATAATTTAATTTTTGAAATATATTTCAAATTGATCTTCATTATAGATTTAAAATTGTTAAAAAATTATTTTGTTAAGAAACAAACTATGTCTGTTAATCACTTTTGCTAATGAAGAGATTAAAAAAAGATTTCGGAAGAAAAATGTGATTTTTTTAAAGACATTGCAACTAGCATAATTTTAGATAATCTATCTTATATAAAAAATAATAAATATTTATGTCATTTTTATGTTATCCAATCATTTGTAACATAAGAACAGATATATGTATACAGTTGAACAAATATATAAGTCTCATTTGAACAAAATTATGAGTTATTATATCCGGTAAATATATTCTAGAAAGGAATGAATTATGTTACTATAGCGTGTATAACGCTTAATGAAATAATGAAGGTTAATTGCAAACCATGAATGAGCGAATTTTTTTTTCTGATTCTAGGAAAATCAATATCCATATCGTATATACTATTATACAATTTTCTTTTTATAATAAAAATTATTATTATTTGCAATAACAATGTTATAATTGTTTTAATTATTTTAAATGTTTAAATAATTTACAAATATAATATGTTTAAATTATTTATATATTATATATGTTTAAATAATTTATATATTATAAATTATTTAAAAATTTAATTATTTTCATCTTAATTAAAAAAATAAATCATGAAAATCTTAATTAAATCAGAAATTATTTCTTTTATCATTGTAATTATTTCAATCTTTTCAAATTTTATTTTTTATTAAATATTTTCTAATAAATACTGTTGCAATTATTTTGATGAAAATTTGCAATTACTTATTTGATGTAAAAAATCAAATATAATTCAAAGTATTAGCAATTATTCAATTTTCAATGAATTATGAAACTATATATGAAATTATTTATTACATATAAACATAGAAAAAAGATTTCTGATAATAATGAATCATCATGAGTCATATTATTATCTTGCTACTTTTAGCCAATAATTAATTAAATTTTAACATAAGTAATCAAAAATGGTAACCAACTTTAACCAATCTATTCTAAATAAAATTTTTAATTAAATATTAAAAAAAAAAAAATTATAAAAATTAAATATCGCATATATGTATAACTTTTGTAATACATTTAATTCTAATCTATTTTTATTAAAATCTTTTTATTATTTGAAAACAAAAAAAAGATCCAAATTATTACATTTAACTTTTTCATTATTTCTAAAATAATCCAAAAATTTTTAAATCCAAAAATTGTTAAAAATTCCAAACATTTAATTTTTATGATATATTTAATTTTATATAATATTCAATTTTATCAAAGACTCCCTTTCAAAAGAAAGGATCTCTCTTATCGATAAAATAAAAAAACCCTAGACTCTATCTTCAAGGATCACGTATTTTCCTTCTACGTTATCTGTATCGTTCGACCGTTTGTAAATGGGGTACCATGGGTCTTATCGATTCGAACCTGTAGGAAAGGATTATCCTGTCGACTTAGCCTAAGCGCCTCCATATCCTGATCGATGTTTCGTGTTCTACCAGGTGTCAAGGTTAAAATGGAATGCGACGGTGATGGTTGACAAGCAACGACAACATCGACGGCTGCTACGCTCAATGTCGACGGAATCCTTGATACTTGGTTGTCATTTTCGCTGCCACTACGTCTGCAGGCGTTTGTGATGATCGCTGAAACAAAGATTATTCAATCCTAATAATTAAATTACAATTAAAGTTAAATGTAATTTAATGTTATTTAATAAAATATGTTATGATCCATATATTTATAGAAATTATAAAATAAAAAAGTAAAAAGTTTTGCAATTGATTTTTTAATTACTAAATAAAATGAAATTGGTTGGTTTCAGATTTTTTGTTTTTACAATTATTGAAAATATGTAAATTCTTTTAATAAAATTAACTTTAAATAGAAAATTTAATTATGAATATCTATTTTATAAATATTTAATAAAATTAATGTTAAAATTTTAAAAATTATAAAACTGGCATTGTATTCTTTATGCTAGAGAATATGCAACAAATTATGGGAAATTTATATTTTATATTATGTCAAAAGATAATTTATTGAGATCAAAATTTTTGAGATCCTACTATTTATTTCATTATTTCATTCAATTTAGTTCTCTAAATTCATATTTAATAAATTAATGTTTGATAATTTATTTTGTAATGCAATATAGCAAGCACGTATTTAAATATCAAAAAAAATTCGTTAAAAATAAAAATCAAACATATTTATTGTACTATTATAAAGATTTATTTTGTTATAAGATTCAAGTTATTGATATTAAAATTAAT